GTTGGGGCCGTGGCGCAGCATCTCGTACTGCACGACGGCTTCGAATTGAGGATGAAGCGGCAGGGCAGGCGGCTGCATCCCTGCCTCCGCAACGATCTGCTGCACTCGTCGCACTGTGCATCCCTCCGCGGCCGCGATGGCGGCGGTGGTGACGCCGGCGGCGAAGAGCGTCACCACCGCCGACGCCCTGTCCCCGGCGTCCGGCCAGCGAGCCGCAGTGGAGCTTGGCAGTGCAGTGGCGACGAGGAGTGCGGTCGCGAGGAGCGAGAGCCGCCGGTATGGAGGGCGCATGGTGGAGCCGGCGGCCGTCGGTGTTGATCTCGTGCGGCGTCGCGAGTGGTCACACGCGACGCGGCCTCGGTCCGCCGTCCAATGCCCCCGGGGCAAGTTGGAGTTCGGGTTGTTCACATTCGTTGTTAGTTACAATTGTGTTGTTTGATGGTTGTTCAAGTTGTTCAAGTTGTTCGGAGTTGTTTGATAGTTGTTCACAAGTCGTTCAGAGTTGGTTGATAGTTGTTTACAAGTTGTTCAGAGTTTTTCAAACAGTTGTGCGGGGAGAGAACAGGGTTGAAACTCATGTGCGCTTGGTAGAGTTGTTGTTAGGTTGTTAGTTAGTTGTTGTGTTTCGCTCAGTGCACCATACGCCGACGACCCAACCTCACGCGAACAACCCAACCCGACCCAACAACCCAACCCAACCCAAAAAGCACGATTCTCAAGTTGGGCCTTCTGGCAGGCTTTTGCAGCACGCCAGTGCCCGGCTTTGCCAAGCACAGCTGCCAGGGGAGCAAAAGGCAGCTGCCTTGGGCAGCACAGCTGCCTATCTAACCGCAATGCTGGGTCTGGGGGCTCCGCTCGTGTCGTTCAGCCTCATATCCTCAGCGCCGCTCACGGCAGCGCTGCGCCTGCGTGCAGGGCACTCACAGGCGGCCGCGCTTGCCGAGGAGTTCCAGCAGAATGGCGCAGTCGTGCTGCGGGGTTTCCTCAGCCCTTCGCTGCTTGAAAAGTGCCGCAAGGTGTACGACGACGCTCTCAACCAGCCCGTCCGCAGGGGCGCTCAGGTCAAGTACCCCGACGGCACCCTGTACAACCCGGCCATCGGCCATCGGACCGATGACGAGGCCGTGCTGGACATGGTGAACGAGGTTCCGTTCGCGTCCACCTTGGCAGAGCTATGGGGATCCGAGAGCGTGTGGTTCTTCGACCACGAGCTCTGGTGGAAGCGGCATGGCGACTCGGACAACGGCCGCTCAGCGGAGCGGAGCGACACGCCCTTTCACCAGGACTCGCTGGCTGTCCCTTTTCGTGGGCTGCACGTCGGTCTCTTTTGGATCTGCTTCCAGCCGATCCCAAAGGAAAACTGCCTGCAGGTTGTGAAGGGATCGCACAGAGGTCCAGTGTACCAGCTCGCGCCGGGGACGATCTTCGGCATGGACCCCGATGAGCCAATGGTCCCCGAGTCTGTGCAGCCGGTCATGCCGATGACCGAGGACGAGCGCGCGCACTGGGAGTACTGCGCTTGGGATCTCGAGCCCGGGGACGTCGTCGTCGTGCACCCCGGCACGATCCACGGCTCGGCTCCCGTGTCAGCTTCGTGCCCGGAACGACACACGCTGGTGCTTCGGTTTGTCGGCGACGACTGCTGGTTCAGCAAGGGTGCGGTGTACATTCGCGAGACGCGCGAGATCCTCCAAAAGGCATTCCTGCCTTCTCTTCACAACGACAAGGGCGAGTACATTTACGACAAAGAGTTGCGACCAGGTGACCACTTCTCGAGCTTCCTCTCCCCACAGTCGCTCCTGCTCGGGCCTGGAGTGACCGCCCGGTAGGTAGTGGAGATCCTGCCCACGGCTCCGGCCAGCCCTCCGGATGAATAAAAATTCGTTACGTCTTGCAGAAAATTCTTTTTCCCAGTTCGCACCTGTGTCGAGCCTGTGTGCTGTGAGAGAGAGTTGTTTTGTTTAAATTCTTTTTCCCTCTGCGCGCTCCCCCAATCCTCCTTCCTATATCCCTCGCGTGTTTTGTTTTTTCACCCACAGCAGGTGTATTTTATTTTTGCTTGGCCGGGTATCATGACGGGTAGGTAGGGTAGCGGTAGGTCTGGGCCCTCCCTTCGGGTTTTTCCCTCTCTTCACGCCGGAATTTTCACAGCAGAACAAAAAAAATTCCGCGGAAATCACGATGTCAACCCTCCCCAAGTCGTTGATCTGGTGCTTGTAGGGCTTGAGAGTGGCCTGCCATGTCACAGGAAGGACTGTGGTTGCAGGAGAGTACCACCAACCATCACTTTATTTAAGTTGGTACCTTCTATTCCAAAAGTTTATTAGCAGCACCCCCCTACCGCCGCCCAGTACGTGCTCCGCAGCTGAGCCCACGCACCCCACAGTAGCTCAGGGACACAATAAGCTCGCATACAAGTGCTGGTACGCACAGCTCGACGCGTACTCGAATGCTGCCACTGTCATTCTAGCCGGCGAGCGGCGGCGTCACAGCGTCGACTCTCGCATCGCGATGAGACGCACTGCTTGCCCAGACGCGCGCCTTGGCGCGCTCCTGTGGTGCAGGAGGAAGGCCAGCGCTCGTGCTGCGCAGGCCCGGCCGTCTGGTTGAAGGGAGCAGCAGCTGGCGCTCAACAGCAGCGCTGGCGAGCGGCGCAGCCACCACTCTCCCGCCAAGACACGTGTCATTTCGCGCCAAGATTTGGCGCCAAAATGGCACTTTAGTGTCCACCTAGCCGCGTGGTTGCGGCCTGAAGCTCCAAGCTTCTGGGACTGAGGTGCACACATCGAGGACTCCATTTGTGTGCAGGCGGCACCCTTCCGATCGTTCGCCGATATCCGAAACCGGTATCTCACATTTACTTGATAAACCAGCCGATCCAACAATCCTTTCACACCGGACGGTAGAGCCGAATCTGACGGCCAGAAAGCTCACCAGCCTCGCAACACATGCCATACCCATCCCTGACAAGCGTGGTTTGACTCACAGAAGCCGCAGGCCACGTGGAGACATAGCTACGTGACCACGCAAAACACGCCCGGAGACTGCTCACATCCCGATATCCCGGGCTCCAACAATGGTCCCATTATCGGGCCTATCGCGGTCCGACGCCGATCTACTTGGCTGTCCCCAGCCCACAGGTACCGGGTGCACCCAGCCTGGCCGCAGGAGGGCGGACCCGGGCCGAACCTCCCACTCAGAGGTCCATTGAAGTCGTCCGCGGCGCCGTCCCGAAGCAGCAGCCGCGGGAGCGGGAGCGGGGAAGCTCGTACTCGGCCCGACGCGATAATATTAACGATGCAATGCCAACTGTGCGTACAATGACTTGTACACACATCACCTGGGTCGTGATGGTCCATATGAAGGACAGACAGAGTCACGCACATCGCCTACACGGTCTGAGGGTGGTGAGGACTGATACATGCCCGGGTCGGGTTGAGTGCGCTCGGAGAAGAACAAAGTGTGAACTATGGGCCAAATGCGCTGGTCAAGGGGACAAGAGGAGTTGTGTGTGACAGGGCTGCCTGGAGCAGCCCCAAGCTGGAGGCCTTCGTCCACAGAGACCCGTCAAGGAGCGTCTTCTAGCATTGTCTGCACCACTGTCACGGATCACGCAAGGCCGCTACGGAGACGAGCAGCTCCGAATCCGCGGCAATCCTCATGCATCCAGGCGTCACAGTCAATATCAGTGGTCTAGCCACCGCCATGCACCGCTTGACGTCGATGTCTCCAGGCTGGAGTGCCTGTATCCTTTGTTACGCCGCTCGGAGGTCTGATGGAGCCGCAGAACACCTGGGGCTGTGAGGGCGTCAGGCGGTGCCGCAGATAGACTTCTACCTCATAGCGCGCACCGATCTATCCGTGCCGAGCCCTGGCCGCCGCCAGCGGACGGTGCTCTACCAGCAAGGTCACCTACAGGGCACATTGTTGGACTTTGGCGGCCGATTTGCGCTCGAGCCTCCGCGCGGGAATCAGCACCGGCAGGCAGCGAGAGCACGACTGGCGACCGAGAAGCCAGCAGTGCTGCGCCGACACATGCCGGTCTGGACAGTGCGCGAAGCAGCCGCATGCGGCCTTACTGAGGCCGAGCGCGCGGCGATTGTTGGACGGTCACGTCGTTTCGGTTTATCGGGACGCGCCGGGATATCAAGTAAATGCGAGATATGCTGCTAAATAACTTTTGGAATAGAAGGTATGGTATCCCACCTTCACCCATCCCGTGATTTCTTTTTTAGTTTCCCATAAGTAAGGTAGGTAGGTAGGTAGGTAGGTAGGTAGGGGCAGGGCATGGCTGAGCCGGGCGAGGCGCCTGGAGGCAAAGACGAGATCAGCGAGGTCAAACTTTGGACCCCCCTCCGGGGTGGCTTGCCTGTTGGGGTCGGCCGCGCCGACACCGGAGGCAACCCCGGCTCCGTTGGAGACAAGTTCGCCTTCGGCAACACCGAAGAGCGCGCCCGCCTTGCAAACAGGGGCTGCAAGCAACGCGGGTTCCGTGGTCAACGTGCGTTCGACCACACCACCGGCCAAGGCTACGTCAAGTCGCAGCGTGGCCATTACCATGACGGGATCTTCGGCAAACGAAACAAGTTCAACCTGCTTCTCCACGAGACATTCGGCGGCGGCTTCTCGCCGCCTGCGGTTGCAAAGATCAACCGCCTTGCGCGCAAGGCTCAACGCTCGGGCGTTGACCGCACCGCGTACCCTCCCCACTCCCGCCTCTCATTTGTGTCACACCACGCGGAACGCATCTCCATCGCTTCGGTGAAGGGGGTGAACCGTGCCATCCTCGATCGCCGTGCTAAGCTCGCTTCCGAGCTCTCACGCCGCGCGTAGGGCCCCTAGGGGCCTAGAGAGCACAACCCCCTCTCTCTTTTCTCCCAGTAAGCTAAAAGTACGTACATTGAGAGTACGTACGTACATTGAAAATAAAATACACCGGCCCACAGGCCACAGCTCACCTACCGCAGCTCCACCGAGCGCCAAAGCTCCGCACTGGCTCGATGCTTGCTCAGCAACTTGGGTTCGCCGCGACCTGGTCGCGCCCAGCGTGCAGCTCATGCTCGCACATTCTCACGAGGCCCAGCTTGACCCGCTCGCTCGGCTTGTCCAAGTGCACTGCGGGCCACACCGTGCGCCGCATCCCCGTGGTCACTGCAACGCCGGAGAACTTTGCGCCCTTCGGCACGCTTCTCGGCGACACTTCCACCTCGTCCACTTCTACACACTACCAGGCAGTCAGGGTGGTCAACCCCTCGACCAACTTCGCATCCGATGAAGACACGTGATCGCGCCTTAGCCCATGGAATCTCTCAGCACATTTAGTTACGACCTAGTATCTTTGCACCTTGGAGCCGCACCACTGCACTATCCAACATGCGAAAGCACGCCATCGTTTCCACAGGTGTGTGCTTGTGCTCTGCTACGAGCCGAGGCCGCTCGAGTGCAAGGCGCGGCGCTCGAAGCTGAGATTAGATGTCAAACGTAGACAGTCGAGGTCGCTTGTGCATAGTTCCTCGAGCGGCACTACAAGCACACGCAGGCTTTCATTCCGCTCGAGGGCAAGCCGCTGGTTGGCTTCTTTGCCCCGTCCAACGAGTCGGCAGAGGAGCCGGATCTTGACGCGGTTCGCTGCTTCGCCTTCGATGGCAGCGCAGGCTTTGTGATGCACAAGGGGGTTTGGCACGAGCAGCCATTCCCACTTGTGCCGGGTACCAAGGCAGTCTGCATTCTGCGCAACGAGACCGTCCGAGAGCTCAAGCCAACCGACGAGCGGACGCAGGAGTGCCACGGACAGGACATCGACAAGCTGAATCTAGCTGTCCGTCACAATCTGATCTTCACCGCCGATGCTGACGCTGCGGCGGCTGCCCTCCTGTCCGAGACAGAGTCACTCCAGTGAGACCGAGAGCTGGCGAGCGGAGTTCTCCACCCGACACCCCAACGCCCAACGCGGTCACGCTCGTTATTTATGTATGTATATTTATGAGAGAGAGTATTTTTTTAGCAATACCAAACAACTCTAACACTCACACTTGTTATTTGTCAGCCGCGAGGCTGTGTGTACACGATTACACGTTGACCCTGCACCGCTCTCGCACTTTGAAAACACGTGCACGATCACATTTTCTTCATGTATATCTCGACAATTTCGAGGACGGTTAGAACGATCACCCCTCAGCGAGCCGGACAGCGACCGTCGACTGGCGCAAGTCAGGCCGAGGCTCCATCGCCGCCGCGCAGGCCGCGCAGTAGTCTTGCCCAAACTTGTTGGTGAAAACGATCTCGGTGGGGCTGGTCATCTCGCGCCTGCATTGGCGTCGGTCGCATTGCACAAAGTCCTCCTCCTCTCCCTCGCCTCCCTCGCCCTCCTCCTCCCCGCCCTCCTCGTTGTCCCCGCCCTCCGCAAACGCCTCGTCGCCCAAAACCTCGAGCTCCGGCAGCCCCGTCTCCCTCCGAAGCGCCTGGAGTTGCTCGACAAACGCGGACCCGCGCGGGCTCCAGCGCTCGTCCGGGCCGTCCGCCGCGGCGTCCAGGTTGGTGGAGCTGAGCGTGATGGAGCGGAGGCAGCGGTTGCGGCCAAGTTGCCGGATGAAGGCCTCTTGAGCCGGGGCGCTCAGCGAGAGCTCAAGCGGGAAGACGAGGGCGCGCACCCGCAGCGCGCCGAGCGCCTGTGCCGCCGCCACGCCGAGTAGAACGCCAGTGCCGTCGACCCCAAAGCACTCCAGCGCCGGGTTGCTGGATGCGACTCTGACTGCCTCAACCACCCGCTCCGTCGCCGTGTCGCTCGACGCGGCCTCGCTCGCCGGCAGGAAGGGACGCGGCGAGGCTCGGAGAGCCTCGACGAGCGGCGCGTCAAGAGTGTCGGCGCGGCGACGGCGCGCCTTGGAGGAGGAGGAGGGGGAGGAGGCCACGCCGCGCTTCATCGTCCCGCGACGCGGTATTTCTTCTTTTGGTTCGGAGAAAGCGCCCGAGGAGGGCGTTTTTTCAGTGTACTCTCAGTGTACTCAGTGTACTCTCAGTTCTCTCTCTCAGTGTATGTAGCTCTTATGTACATTCCCGTAGGAGGACTCTGCTGACAGGGTTTTCGCTGAGTTTTTGCATCCCCAAATCCAACCCGATGTGCGATGACACTCAGCCCTCAAGACGAAATCTTTGCGCTCCCCGTCCTTTTTTTTTAGCAATACCAAACAACTTTGGTCCTTTTTTTACATGAGGATTATCTCCTCTCTCGCTCCGGGCGCCGGTGATTGATGGTGCCATCTGTACAGGCCTCAGGCGGGTATCTAGGTAATATCAGATTAGGAGACTCTAAAGTCTATGGTGATGAGACGTGTGCAGAGCCATCTCAACCACAAAGCCACCACGAAAGAATCCGTGTTTACTTTACGGCCCTTTCCCTGCAAACGCGCACCCCCCCAGGGCTAGGGCTCTCTAGCCCGTAACCCGATATCGATCATCCGGCCCGCTGGGTGCGCTTCTTAGCTCCCCGGCCCTGGATGTGAGGTTGCCGACTGCACTCCAAGTGCTCCAAGTACAAGGCGCCAAGGCGCCAGTCTCGACCTGTGAGCCGGCTAGCACGGCAGTCCCACTTCCCCTGTCCAGCCCGTCCTGTGTGCATCCTCAGTTCCTCTCCGGCTATCTGCCGCACCAGGGAGCCTCTAATATCGCTCGCGGAGTGCTGGGGCTCGAACGCCGACGGCGAGTCCACCGTCTCGCCAAACGTGGAGTACGCGCTGCCGCCGCCGCCCTCCGCCTCGCCGTCGCCGCCGCCGCCCTCCGCCTCGCCGTCGCCGCCGCCGCCCTCCGCCTCGCCGTCGCCGCCGCCCCCGTCGGCCTCGCCGTCGCCCCCGCCGCCGTCCGCGTCGCCCTCACCGTCGCCCCCGCCGCCGTCCGTGTCGCCCTCGCCGGCTGCCGCCGCGGCGGCGGCCGGCCAGGCGGCGGGCGTCCACCCCATCTTTACGTGGGCGAAGAGTGGCGCCTGCCGGACCAACGACAACAACAAGGGGAACGCGTACGAGGAGCTGTGGGGCGTGTCCAAGAGCAACTGCCACGACAGGTGCCTCTACGACAGCGCCTGCACCGGCTTCGAGCACGCCTCCTACCCCAACGGCAAGCAGCGCTGCAAGCTCTTCAGCGATGCCATCGTCTCGACGGTGCCGGTGCCGGGGGCGGAGTGCTACATGAAGGCGCCCGTAAGGTGTGTCCCCCCCCCCCCCCCGGGGTCCGGGGGGTGGCTCTGCTACGCGTCGCGTCCAAAGAAAGAAAGAAAGCGTAACCGGCACTCCAACGTGCGATAACAGTCGTCCGGCCCCCCGCGCCCCGGTGGGTGCGCTTCTTAGCTCCCCGGCCCTGGGCGTGCGGTTAATAAATGCACTCCAAGTGAAGTTGCCCCACACCCCCCCGGCCGCTGGCCTGTGATGTGAGGTGAGCGTGCATACGCCGCCGCCGCCTCTCCGCAAAAAGAGCAATCGCGGCCATCTTTGCCTCCGCGGTTCCACCACCCCACGTGATCCCACGACCTTGCATAGGCTCAAGCGGACCCGATTTCTCTTTCTGGCTGGGCGGCCCGGTGTTGGCGCGAGCCATGCTCGCTTCGCTCGCGTGGCTCCGTGGTGGCGCCACTTCCGGCTCAGATGCTGGCGGTGCTGGCGGCATGGGCTCTCCGAGCCCGACCTCGCTCGACCCTGCCGACTGGGCCACTCTCCGCGCCAGCGCGCATGCAGTCCTCGACGCGTCGCTGGACAAACTCGAGGCTGCGTCGGAGGGTCGCGTCTGGACGCCGGTGCCCGACGACCTAAAGGAGGCTCTGCGAGCGCCGGTACCGCCAGAAGACGGGCTTGCGCACGGAGAGCTGTGCGAGAGGCTGCTGGCGCTGCTGCCGTACGGAGCCGGCAACACACACCCGCGGTTCTTCGGCTGGGTCCACGGCAGCGGCAGCCCCGGCGGTGTGCTTCCAGAACTCGTCGGCGCCGCGATGAATGCCAACTGCGGCGGGCGGGACCACGTCGGGATCTACGTCGAGCGGCAGGTGAGCTCTGACGGCCCCACTCATGTCTGTGGCGATGCCGTCCTCCGAGAACGCACACGACGCTTGGTGTGCAATGCCCCATGTGCTCTGCCTCCCGCCGTGCCAGGGGTGCGCGTGTCACACTGGCGGACGGACACCCCTCTCTCCCCCTCCCCCTCTCTCTCACGGACGGACGGACGGGCCGACAGGTGCTGACGTGGTGCAAGGAGATGATGGGGTTCCCAGCCTCGGCCGGCGGGCTCCTCGTCAGCGGGACCAGCATGGCGACCGTCCTCGCGCTCAAGGCCGCGCGACACCACAGCCCCGCATCACACAGCACAGCCCCCCGTGCCGCGCACCACAGTATCAACGGGCCGGTATAGGGCACGCGGCAGTACGGTCAGGCTCCACCTACGTGGCGTGCATGCTTCAGCATTCCCGCCCGCTCTGCTGAGGGGAGGGGCAGGACGAGCGGTCGCCTGACCCTTGTCCGCGACGTCCGCGACATGTCCGAGACATGTCCGTGACATGTCCGAGACACGTCCCGCAGGCGGCTCGCGACGCGCGGCTTGGCTTTGACGCGAGCCGTGAGGGCGGCCTCGCCGGCGCGCCTCACCCCCGCCACCGAGCCCGCCGCCCCCGTCACCGCCGCCGCCGCCCAGCCCTCCGCCATCGCCGCCGCCCCGGGCCGGAGGCAGAGAGAGGGCGGCTACGTGTGCCACGCGGAGCCTTCTCCGAGCCTGCAATGCACCCTCTCTGCCCCTTCCCACAGGCGGGCCGACTCGCCTCGTGGGCTACGCGGCGCAGGGGACGCACTCTTGCATCAAGCGCGCGCCCGCTCGTGCAGCAGCTAGTGCAGCACGCGTCAAGCTCTCGCTAGTGCAGCACACGCTCGCTCGTGCAACAGCCAGTGCAGTGCGCGGCGTCGGCACGCGACGTGCCAGCGAGACTCCGCCGCCGACTCACCCGCAGGCGCGCCCTGGACGTGCTCGGCGTCGGTGCGGACGCGCTGCGCATCGTCCCCGTGACGGACGCGTTCACGATGGACGTGCCGGCGCTGCAGACGCTTGGCGGCGGGCCCTGTCCGCGACACGTCCGTGACATGTCCGCGACACGTCCACAGGCGCTGCACGCTATGGTGGCCGAGGACAGGCGGCGCGGGCTCACCCCCTGGCTGCTCGTGGCCACCGCCGGCGCCGTCAACGCGGGCCGAGGAGATTGCCTCAGAGTGCCCGAGATGAGCCGAGATTGCCTGAGAGTTAGGCTCCGTCAATGTGGGCGCCATCGACGACCTCGACGCGCTAGCGGACGTGGCGGAGGCGCACGAGCCGTGGCGGAGAGCCCTGAGGTTCATCCGAGATGCCCCCCGAGATTTCGAGAGCCCGCCGAGAGTAGGCGCAAGGGCTGTGGATGCACGTGGACGGCGCCTTTGGTGCGGCGGCTGTGCTAAGCGACGAGGTGCGGCCGCGGCTGAGGGGGATGGGTCGCGCCTCGTCGCTCGCGTTTGATTTCCACAAGTTGCTAGAGCTGCCCCCATTCGCCTCCGACAGTCACCGAGATTCCCCAGGGCGAGGGGTCGGCTTCTACAGGTGGCTGCACGTCAACTACGACTGCGGCTGCGTGCTCGTCCGCGACGGCGACACGCACTTGCGCGCCGTAGCCGACTTGCTGGCGGTGGGTGCGAGCGGTGTCTCTTCACACCTCTGGGTATGAACAGGCGCGCTTTCTCCGACCGCGCATCGTCGCTCGCGGGCGGCGGCGGCGGCAGGCATTCGCCAGACTACCTAGCCGGCAACGCGCGCGGACTCGCCGCAAACGCGCCCTGGCCCGTGGACTTGGGGATCGAGCTGTCGCGCGGGTTCCGGGCGCTCAAGGTCTGGTCGCACTTGCTCGAGCACGGCACGCGAGCGCTCGGCGCGGCAATCACGGTTGCGGCGCGGGGGGGCGCTTCCGCCGCGCGGGTGGCCCCTCTTGACGGCCTGCCGGGCCTCGGGCGTAGGCCAACTTGCGGCATGCGGAGCACTTGGCGGCGCTGGTCGACAAGGCGCCCACTCTCACCCGCCTCGCCCCGCTCAGCTTGCAGATCGTCGTATTCCGCTACGAGCCGGCGGGGCTGCTGGGAGGCGGCGGCGGCGGCGGCGGCGGCGGCGGCGGCGGCGGCGGCGGCGTGGCTGCAGACGGGGCGGCGCTCGACGCGTTGAATGACGAGATTGTCGTCGAGCTGCAGGAGCGCGGGGTGGCCGTCCCCTCGACGACCCGGATCCGCGGCGTGCTCGCGATCCGAATCAACCTGACCAACCACCGCACCCGGTTCGAGGACCTCGACTTGCTGGTGGAGCAGCTGTGCAAGATCGGCGGCGAGCTGGCCGAGCGCCGGGGATGGGCCTAGGCTGCGGCTTGCGCGCCCCCCTTTCATAAATAAATATATAATAAAAACGGACACGCCAAACGACGAGGGGTGCGAGACGCAACCACCCCTTCACCTTTGACCAGCGGCCGCTCACTGCTCGGTACCCCCCCTGCACAAACTAAAAGCTCATGGAACCTGGTTTGTGGAGCTCCCGCACATTACCTAGAGAGCACGGCATTCGGGGCCATGATCTCGGTTCCGCACTGGACTTTTTTTGTAGTGGAGAGAATTAAGGAATCTTTCTGCTCTGGCAGGCAGCTGCATCATTTCCCTTTACTTCAATCAGCTGTGTACACTCAAGTGCTATTACTGTCTGAATAGCTGTCTAGACGCTCCGATTTTGCTGTCTGGACGCTGTCTGGACACTGTCTGGACGCTGTCTGGACGCTGTCTTGGACACTGTCTGGACGCTGTCTGGACATGGAAGATCGCATGAGGTGTGAATAGACCTGCAGACAGGAATCATACTCTGATACTCAACAACACGTCGGCCAGCTGTGAGCGATCAAAACTTGAGTTGCATTCTCTTGGTTGGATGGATGGACGTGGTATGACGTATGTGGACAAAACATCTTTCTCAATGGAAACCGATGTGAAAGGACGGCGTGGCGGCGCCGCAAGCGCGTTCGGTCGCGCGCGCCCCGAGGCCGCCGTCGTGGGTGCAGCGTGCGTGCCTGACTGAACTGCTGGGCTCGCGCTTTGCCCGATGCGCAGCGGCGGGTCGACGTGGCTACTGCCGGCCCGCAGCTTCTTCATCGGCTGCGGCGCGGGGCTCGCGGCTGCAGCATGGAACCCGACCAATGCGTGCCCACGCTTGCTCTGCCCTTTCCACAACGTCATGGCGTTGCCCAGAATACGCCACAGTTGCCGCTCTGCCGACTTTCGCGGGCACTTTGCGGAACCCTGCTGTGAAGAGGGCGTGTGTCTAGACAGCTGTCTAGACAGCTGTCTAGACAAAACTACAAGTTCAAACTTCAAGTTCTCAAGTTCTCTTAAGTTCTGCTGTCTAGACGCCCCCCCCCCCCTCAATGGCAAGTAAAGAAAGCGGCATGCGGATGGGTGGGTGGGTGGGTGGGGAGTGGCCTCGGCAGCGCCAGGGGTGCTGTCAGGGGTCGTCCAGCCACGACTACGAGACTTTACTGTGAAGAGTGGAGCCATGTGCCACTCTCTGGACGCTGTCTGGACGCTGTCTGGACACGCTGTCTGGACGCTGTCTGGACACTGTCTGGACGCTGTCTGGACACTGTCTGGACAGGCTCAGGACTGTCTAGACATGTGCGGGAGCTCCACAAACCAGGTTGGGGGGGGGTCGGAAGAAATAAATAAAACAGACACCCCAATGGAGGGATGGGAGGCTCGGGAGCTCTCCCGCACCGTTTAAGCGTTTAAGACCGTTTAAGGAATCGGCGGCCCAGCAGCTCTTAATAAAACCTGCCCTGCCTGGCAGGTTTTAAGCCGTTTAAGCCGCAGGCGCCCCAGGGCCCACCCTTTTAAGCCTAGGGGTACCCTAAGCCAACGCGGTATGGGTGGACGCTGGACAGATGATGACGGCACGCACAGTCCACAGACAGACAAGAGTTGGCCGGAGGATCGCTCTCGGCGGCCCTCATCGATCCTCCCTCTTCGTGCGGTTGCCGATGGACACGGTCAAGGCCCCGCGCACGTCCGCGTACGATGCCGGGGAGGCAAGGAGGCATTTTGTTTGTTATTGTGTGTGTGTTTCCGATTCGTTTCCGATTCGTTTCCTGCCTGTCCTGCCTAACTAACGAAATTCGACCACTCTTTTACATACATGTTGCAACCTCAAAGAATTAAGGTATTAAAAAAGAAACCCCGCAGTCTGGTGTAGCAGAATGCGCTGCACAAAAACCACATTCACACCCCAAACACCGCCACCTGTCCTCGCCTTGCCCAGCCACCCCCACACACACATATGCTCCGGGCGACCCCCCGCCGCTTCGCTCGTGGGCTCGCCTTTGGCCGCCGCCCTCACGTGCGACCTCCTCCGCCGCCTCCGCCTCCGTCTTTCGTGACGCAGTCGGGCGTGCCTGAGCTTTCGCTGTTCTCGGTCGTCGGCGCTAACATGGTTGTGCACGCCTTCTGGCAGGATCGGAGGTGGCAGCCTTTCATGCACCGCCATTTTGTGCTCAGCCTCGAGAGCGTGCGGCGCCGGCGCTGGCACACGATGATCACGTCCGCTTTCTCGCAGCTCTCTCCCTCGCACCTGCTCACCAACATGGTGATGCTCAGCTTCTTTGGCCTGAGCCTGCCGCGCCGGCTCGGCGTGCCAGCCTTCGCGACGCTCTACCTCGCAGGCTCGGTCGTCAGCTCGAGTGCCTGGCTCGCCGAGCAGCAGACGCTGCGCGACCGCACGAGCGCGCTGCGCGAGCGGGCGGAGATCCAGGCGGCGGGCTGCGTGGGCGCGAGCGGCGCGGTGGCCGCCTGCGTCACGGGGGCCTGCGTCCTCGACCCAGGCCGGAGGGTCTACCTCTTCTTCCTGGTGCCGATCCCCGCAATCGGCTTTGCAGGATGGCGCCTAGATCGCGCCTCGGACCCGGAGACGCAGCAGCAGGAGCAGCAGCAGGAGCAGCAGCAGCAGCGGCAGCAACAACAGCAGGAGGAGGAGGAGGAGCAGCAGCAGCAGCAGCAACAGCAAGGCTCGGCGAGGATAGTGCACCCCATACGACCACGTGAGTTCAGTGCTCTCACCGGCGCGTGTGGGGAGGCGTGCGTCTGACCGCTGCCACACCTCTCCGCAGGCCTCTACGTCCTCTCCGACTTTTGGGGATTACTTGCAGCGGCGCACGACCCGGGCGGCTCGGCGGTGGCGCACTCAGGGCACTTGGGCGGTGCTCTGGCGGGTGCGGCGTTCGTGGGCTTGATGCGAGTGGCCGGGCGCGTTAGGTGATGGCGGTGTCCCTGTTGTCCACGCACACCCCCTTGTGGCTTGCGAGTGTCCCAGTGATCTGTGATCTGTGAGGGTCCGCCCGCAGGCGCATTTTGTATACCGAGGCGGTGCCCGGTGCCGAACCTGTCGGACCTTAAGACAGCGTTGTAGATCCCTGGGCGAGGGTGGTGGAGAGGGCGGTCCGGCGGCGGAGCAACCAGACCTCCTTCCCGGGCGGCGCGGTGTGCCGGGAGGCAGGATGTCATCCCCCGTGTGATCCAGACCGCCCCGTTGGAGGTGGGCCGCTCGTCTAGCCAATCAGCCTTAAGCGAGCGGCCTGGCCGTTGGAAAGGCCCAAGACCGGTCCCCGTCGGGAGGGACTCTCTGGAAGAGGAGAGCAACCACGAGGTGCCCGGGGGCCGTCGCGTCCCGCCCACTTGAGCACTGGAGTGTCCTTCCTCCTTGTCGCGACCGGAGACCGGTGCACCGTCAAATTCGTAATTACGTTTCTCCCTCTCCGCTCTCACACATCGATCGAGATGAGCCCCTCTTCTCTCATCCGCCTCCAGAGCGCGGGCGGTATGCTCGCGTTGGCCAGCTCGACGTTGGACTGCACCCGGCTAGGCTTCGTCGTGTTGAGGGCCACGGCGACGATCTGGGGGAAGAGGAAGCTGAACTGCACGCACACCGCCGCGGGGGAGACGCCAAACTCGCCGCAGAGCGCGGTGAACTTCTCGCGCCACGCAAAGGCGTCGGGCCGGCTCTCGCGGGTGATCTTGACGTAGTCGAGGTGGTCGCCGCCGATCAGGAAGCCGGCGTTGAAGACCGCCTGCCGGGCGAGCGGGCGACGGCGCGCGTCAAGGGCGCCTGCACGGAGAGGCGGGGGCGGGGGGGGAGGGGGGCGACATCAGGAAGGGGGGGGGGGGGGGGGGCGACCCTCGCGACTCCACGTCTAACGACAGGAGCCCCGCGGCCTTCAAAGTGTGCAAGGCCCGGTGTACAGGGGTGGGCGGTGCCTGGGAGCACTCGGCGAGACTGTCTGGAGGCGTCGAGGGGCCGTTTCAGGCCGGATACTCGGCTGTATCTCGACTGTAGCTCGGCTGTATCTCGGCCGTAGCTCTCGGCTGTAGCTCGGCACCTTCAGCTCCGCGAGTGCGCGGTAGGCGCCGAGCACGTCCGCCCTCCGCGCCTCGAGGTCCGCCTCGTCGGCCGCCGCGCCCAGGTACTCGTCGGGGTCGTGCACTGACACGATGCGCGCCTCGTACTTTCCGAGAAGCGCGTTGCCCTGCCGGTAGCACTCCATGATGCCGTCGTACGAAATGGCCTGGACGGCGTCATTCTTCAGGTTGACCCACGCGCCGGGCTCAAAGGTCGGCTCGGGCGTGGTGAGCGGGACGCGCTTCCAGCCGAGCTTGTTGCTGATGAGAACCTGCTCCGGCTCCACGCCGAGCTCCTCGAGGCAGCGGCCGAGCTCCTCGAGCGCTAGACCGGCACCGTACTTGCCTGCGCTGTCGAAGAGGGCTGTCGGCACGGCCTTGAGGACCTGCTCGACGACGGCTTTCTTCTCGTCGTGCGTCGGCTCCACAAAGAGGTTGCCGAGCGCGGACGTGCCGAAGAGGACACGTGGAAGCGCCGGCTTTGCCATATGTGTACTGTGCAGCCGCCGCCACACGTCGGAGCCTGCGACAGGGGGCGGTCGCCCTTCGTCGGTGAGCTTGAAAACCTAGGAAGCGGGCCCAGGATTGTGCCCGGCTGTGAAAAGAATTCTTCCCTGCGACCTTTGTGGCCGTTTTACAACATTGTGCCGTCCTCCCATCCCTCCCTTGGGTTGTCTGTTTTCTTTCTTTCTTTTTTTACAACATTACAAGCGGATGCGGACGGATGTCACAGGGGCTGTCGGTACCACAAGTGCCTACCAGCCACACGCTCGATACACGCTGTGCTCCTCGTTCGTCAGTGTCTCGCCGTCCACCGCTGTGTGGCGCTGTAATCGAGTAGATGCGGGGCGGCGGTTGCATGGGCCATGGCGATTTGTCATTTGAGCACACATACCCCTCCTTCCTGAGTCACCAGAAAATAAAAACGATCCTTGAGCGGAGGCCGCCTAGGCCACTTTTCCGGCCTCTCCGCGGAGAATCTGGCTTCTGGGAGAATGGCTACCATAGCCTAGCATGGCACCCGCGGGCAAAGCTGCCCCCGGGTCCCTAGAGCCCATGGGCATTCCCAAAGGATATGTCAGCGTGAGGTGAGGGCGCAACGGTGGGGCTCACCAGCCCCTCAAAGTCGGGCCTCGGGCGGCGGTCAGAGGGGCGGGCAAGGGCACGTGGGAGAAGGGTCAGTGCGGCCCACAATGTGTGAGCTACCCCCTCTCCTAGGTGTGACTCTACAGCCCCTGAGGCCCTCTGGGCTGGGCACCATCAGCTTGGGCAGAGGTCCTCGGGGTGGGAGCCACGCGAGGAGAGGGAACTACGTGCGTCTGTTGGCGTGGGTGGGGGGGGGGGGGGGGATGCTCGGGGAGTGTCGGCCAGGGAGTGCCTCGCCAGCTTGCCCCGGCGAGGGAGCGGGAGGGCGGTCGGCAGAGCGGTCGTGGCCCTTGATGTGCCGCCGCGCTGCCGGCTGCCGCCCCCGCCCGCGGTCCGCGCGCGAGGTGTGCATAAACCAGACACCACTATGTTATATCATAGGATATAACATACTGAGATACCAGGCTCTTCCCTGGCATATCAGCTATCAAGAAACCGTCTGACTTATAGGAGGAGGAGTATTCTGCTTTTTCGACACATCCCACAGAAAACATCCGGGCCATGGGAATATCGGTCCAGACACTCTGGGTTCTGGTGTTTTTCGAGGTGTGAACGATCTATCTCCCCGTGGAGGGGTCATTCCGGCGGAATGACCTTTCATTAACTAATCGGATTCCGAATGGGTCGAACGGGAGTACTAAGACTTGATTTGCCAACAATATACCCTGTACTAAGACAGCAGCATGTTCTGGGTGGGAGGAACCCTTCGGGGGAACCGTTTTATCGCTCCAGGCTGCAGGCATTGGTTTCTGGTTTCTGGTTTCTGCTCCGAAAGCGAGGTTGGCGGCGCGCCGCGCTGCCACGCACTTTTGTGGCTCACGGGAGGGAGGCCTGCGATGCGGTCGAGTCCGCCAGGCTGCCGCGATCCCGAGCGGAAACGCCGTGGCAGCCAACATGGCTGCCTCGTGCATCGGACGCCGACCGGCGGGGCCGTTGAGCTTGTCATGCCCAAGCCCTGAAAGGCTGAGCTGTGAAAGGCAGGCGTTGTGCGAGTGTTTTGAGTACCTATCACCTATCAATAGAGTGTTTGGATCTACTCTGTTGGAGACAGAAAGAAGCTCTATCACAACGTCGGCGGAGCGGCCAATGCGCGCGGCGATCTTGAGGGCACCACCAGGAGCTGGCAAGGCCTCATCGCACGCTACCGCACGTGCCGATCCGTGCCGAGAATTACCCGCACCCGGCGTTGACAACCTCAGCTTAACACTCATCACCAGTCGCGACCAATCGGAGCAGAAACCAGAAACCAGAACAAAATGCATGCCGCGAGGGGAGCCTCCTCTGGAGTGAGGACGAGGACCCCGCGCGAAGGGGCCCTGAGCGATGACGCCGTGTGAGAGTGCGTGTCGTGTTCATGTCTGGTGTTCATTATAGCTCCGAGTAGAGGGGGCGGTCTGCTGCTAGGGGAAACCCGGAGCGCGGAGCCAACCCTCGGAGACCCGTGTTTACTTTAAGGCCCTTTCCCTGCGAACGCGCACCCCCGGGGCTAGGGCTCTCTAGCCCGTAACCCGATCCCGATCATCCGGCCCGCTGGGTGCGCTTCTGAGCTCCCCGGCCCTGGATGTGAGGTTAATGACTGCACTCCAAGTGCTCCAAGTGCTCCGCTTTTTGCTGTTCCCACTTGAAAAAAATCGGATGGGGAACCTGTTCATTGGCCGGAATGAGCTCATTAGGACGAAGCGGGAGATGTATTCACACCGCAGAAACCAGACCCACAGGCAGATCCCACGGGAAATCGAGGCGGGTGTCCCAGAAAACAGATCCCAGAAAAAACAGAGCGCGCCGCAGAAACCGACCGACCCCTGGGTTTTCGGCTATGGGAAACCGCCATGGGAAACCGCAGCAGAAACCCTATGGGAAACCGAGGTCTGGTGTCTGCTTTGTGCACGAATGCCGCGCGCATATCCGGCGCGGTTTTCACGCGTGTTCATATGGCGCGCCTTCCTAGTGGCCACGGCCTTGGCTCGATATACGGCTATTGTAAAAAGCACCGCATTCAGCGTTCGCCGAACGACGCAACGACCTCCACATGTAAAGTACGACATGCAGGTGCCGTCACTGATGCGTGATGCTGATGGCGATGCACACCGCGTGTCGCGCGTGTGTGCGCGCGCGCGGTCTCGAACCCACACGCGCGCACTCGCGACTCCGACAGCCGACACACACACTGCCCCCGAGAGCGACTCACACGAGCGACCCGGGAAGGGAGCCCGCGCCACACCGGTCGCGCCGCGGTCACCGCGTTCTCTCGGCCGCTCCCCGAGCTCTCCCTTGCTCTCACGACTACTCGTCCTCCTCGCTCTCCTCCTCGCTGCCCTCCTCGCTGGCCTCCTCGCTGCCCTCGTCGACGATCCACTCGTCGTCGCTGTCCTCGTCGCTCCCCTCGTCGCTGCCCTCGTCGCTGCCCTCCCCGTCAGAGGAGAAGGGCGTGCTCGGCTGGCTCGCCCACACCTCCAACTTCTTTGGCAGCAGCTCGTCCTGCTGGTCGCCGTGGCCCAACTGGCCCTCGCTCCCACAACCCCAGCTCCAGACATGGCCGCCGGCGGTGAGGGCGAGGCTGTGGTTGCCTCCCGCTGACACAGCGACGACGCGCCGCCCTGCAAAGGCCTCAGCCTTCCTCGGCAGCAGCTGCGACTCCTGGTCGCCGTGGCCCAACCGGCCTTCCTCGCCATCGCCCCAGCTCCAGACGGCGCCGTCGGCGGTGATGGCGAGGCTATGGCAGTCTCCTGCCGACACGGCGACGACGCGCCGCCCAGCCAAGGCCTCGACCTTCTTCGGCAGCAGCTGGCGCTGCTCGTCGCCGTGGCCCAACTCGCCACCGCCCCAGCCCCAGCTCCAGACGGCGCCATCGGCGTTGAGTGCGAGGCTGAGGTGCCGCCCTGCCGACACAGCGACGATGCGCTGGCCAGCCAAGGCCTCGACCTTCGTGGGCAGCAGCTGGTTCTGCTCGTCGCCGTGGCCCAGCCGGCCAAAGCCGCAATAGCCCCACGACCAGAGGGCACCGTCGGCGGTGATGGCGGGTTGTGATCGCCTCCAGCCGACACAGCGACGACGCTCTGGCCAGCAAAGGCCTCGACCTTCTTGGGTTGCCATTGGGCCTCCTCGTCGCTGTGGCCTAGCCGGCCAAAGCCTCCATAGCCCCAGCTCCAGACGGAGCCGTCGGCGGTGACGGCGAGGCTGTGCAGATCTCCCGCCGATACAGCGACGACGCGCTGGCCAGCAAAGGCCTCGACCTTCTTCGGCAGCCACTGGTTCTGCTCGTCGCCGTGGCCCAGCTTGCCAAAGAATCCATCGCCCCAGCTCCAGATGCTGCCGTCGGCGGTCAGGGCGAGGCTGTGGCAATACCCAACCGACACGCTCACGGCGCGCTCGCCGCCCAGCGTCGACGCGAGGCGGGTCGGCGTGTTGAGCCGCGTCACGCCCTCGCCGTGGCCGAGAAGGCCTGGATCGTCATCCGCCGAGCCGCACGACGAGAGCCGCCCCTCGCCGTCAATGAAGAGGCTGTGGGAGGAGCCTGCCGCCGCCCTCGCCGGCGGGTTGGACTCGTGCAGCAACGCCGCATAGCACAGCCACCGCACGGCGCAGCTCTCGCCCTCTGGCTGCGCTGGCAGCTCGAAGTCGCGCTCTTGCGCCCACAAGCGGATGCACTGCTCCGCGAGCGAGTGAAAGAGGAGAGAGACGGCCGCGACGCGAGCGATGTCGATGGGGCTTTCGAAGCGGGAGAGGACGCGCTCGAGGAGCTCCCTGGGGAGGTCGAGCAGGCGGGCGGGCGGCGGCGCGTCTGGGGAGGGGGCGGCGGCGGAGGCGGAGGCGAGGCGGCGCGAGCGGCGGCGCGGCGGGGTGGACATCGTGAAGAAAAGACGAGCAAACGGCGAGTAGGGGCCACGCCCACCCAGGGTACCCTCTCGAGGGACCCATTGGGGGACCCATTGCTCTTTCGAGGGCTCGCCGGGGCTCTCTGCTCCAAGAGACCTCGGGAGAGCGTGCGTGTGCCTCTACTCGCCAGCGCCGAAACGAATTACGCACATAAGAAAAGAAATGCGCGCGGGTTTTGGCCTTTAAACACTTTTTTGGCCCGTGACGAAGCAATCATCGATCGGCCCGGGGGCAGCCAGTCCACTCAACGAGGACTCTCATGCTCATGCTCCGCTGCCCACTCGTTCTCACGCTGACTTCGCGCCGCCCCCTCCTCGGCATGCGTACGTACCCCCTCCTGGGCATGCGCACGTACCGTGGCCACGAGGACATGCTGACCGCCAGCGAGGCGTGCCGCTCACTGTTCTCGTCGCCTGTGATGTCGAGACGAACTGAATGCTACACGCACGCACCTGAAACAGGCGTG